GGGGGGGGATCAGACACTCACCGCTCTCGCTTTTCTCAATCACGTCCACCAGCTCCCCAGCCTGCAGGCTGATCTCAGAGTTCTCCTGCTTCTCGTAGTTGGCTACCACAATGTACTGCTCCAGCACCATGGGGTCTGAATTGTCGATTCCTGGGGAGGGGAAAAAGCAAGCCGTCAGCCAGCTTCCAGCCATGGCTCCCCGCGACCGGCCGCCGGGCACCCGATACGCCATAGGCCAATTCGTCAATGGTCCCCAGCCAATCAGAACACAACCGCGGCTCAATGCATATTCCCAAAAGTCTGGCCATATAGCTGAATCTGCCTCCAGCCCAGAGTGAAGGGCAAAGCAGCATCTGAGAAAAAAAGAAAAATTAAAAATAAAACCGTGTTGCGTTTTAGTTCATGGAAGCGTTCGGCTAAAGGTATTCCGTTTGAGTGGCTGGGCCTTCCCCATAGTCGGGCGGGCGGCAGAGAGAGAAGGAGCTGCAGACGGTTAGGATGTGACTCTGTAGTGGAAGAATAGGAAAGTTTCCCCTGGAAAATAAACAGTCTGCAAAAAGACTCCTTCTCCTTTCTCAGGCTGGAGCTGGTAGGCGAGTGGGGGCTGCTTACGCCAATCATTAGCGTCTACACTAGTCCTTAAATAGAAACATATGAGTGGGACGGAGTTCGGCAAAGAGGCTGGGCCTATGTTTATATGAAACACAAGAAGAAAGCATTCGCTTGGCTTAGTAAGAAGAGCTCCCCCCATTCTTTATATTTTAACCTCTTAAGTGCCAGTAATGGCTTTATTTATTTACACAATCGTGATAATATATATTTAGCTGATTGTTAATGCTGTACAAGTATGCATCAATGATTAGAAAGTGGGTTTCGGATATTCTTACATTTTTCCATATATATTAAAAGTCTGTATGACAATAATATGCAACGTTCTGCAAAACTTTCCCACATAAATGAGGCACTAGTACTTCATTCTGCTCAGATAGTTTTTAAGGTGTCCATTTGTAGAAAGTTTGCCAACTAAAAAACATAAATAAATAAAGATTATGTTCACATTATGCAATCTTTGTTAATAACTAGCACTAGGTGAACAAAAATACCAGGAAGCATTAAATGCAGGTGAGAAAATGCAGCGTCAGCGATTAACTTGGCTCTGCAGAGAGGCTAAAACAATAAACACTGGACAGATATGGCACAAAACGTTAGAAAAAGATTCTGCCAGGCCTTCTGTTATAATCCTTCTATTCCTTAGCTAAATAATCCAATCCAAGTCTTTTTTTTTTATAAAAACAATACTGGTATAAAATCTCATGCGGCTTCATAATCATTTACGGTTTTTTCATTATGACGTCATTCACAAGCTTTCAATTTCACTGAAGCTGTAATTCCATCTGAAGAACAACAGTAAAAATTCCCCTAAAATGTTTAAAACAAACAATAAAAAAATTAGAAAGAGAACAAAATATATATATATATATAAGATAAATAACCAGTGTGCATTCTTTTCTTGTTCTGACATATACGTTGTTTATGGGGTTTCCCAGAACCACTTTCAAACCCAAAACACTGGAAAACTTAATTGTCCATTAAGTCAGATTCAACTACCGCATTTAAAAGCCAAAGAAATGTAAGCCCAGGCTTAGATTCTGTACAGGATGGAAACCAAAATTAAGCACGAATGTAGACACATGCGGCTAAAAGATTAAAAGGTACCACAAGCTACCAAAAGCTGCATAATCTCCGCTGCTCCCATAATTTCTTCCAAGCCATCATTTGGCACTAATATCCAGCTATAAAAATACTTACCTGCAAAATTTAAAAATACGGCATAATTGTGGAATTTTGTGCAATGTCTGTCTGTCCCTGAGGTAGTGATTTGGATAATTCACAATGCTCTTTAAACATCAAAGCTACATTTTTATAGCTTACCGGTAAGTAAAAGAACCAACGATGAAACATGATCCAATCAATAAGGCATCTAAAGTTAAAGCTCTGATTCTCAGCTTCCTGGATGAATAAAGCAAGCGGTTCTGAAGCTACACTTTCTGTCGCTGCTACAGAGCGTAATTTCTGAGAGGATCCCTTGTGCTGTATTTTCTGCAAAAAAACATAACAGAACAAAACTACTAGCTAATAGGTGTGTTTGCGAGGTCACCAACATTATAAAAGCCCTAATGTACGATGCATTAAAGCATCTCAAAACACAATGACAGAAAAAAAATCAGGCCTTTAGCTTGCGATCAGCAAACCTGGAAGAGATGCTTCCGCAACCAAAAACACAATTCAAAGATGGAAAAGCCATATGAAAACCCAATTAAACCAATCAATGTCTGCAGTATAGAAAGGCAGCTGAAAGCTTCAGGACTGAAGATTCAGCACACAGGGTCAGCAGACTAAACAGCTTCCTGTTAATGGAAAAATGTATTTGGACGCCACGCAAAAATGCTTTTTGTTCATCATGTCCAGTTTCTGCAGGTGTACATGTACCGTCACCCTCATATTATAGCAGCGCGCATTAAGCTGTAACAAATGTAGACGTTTTTTCGCATTATATCAAACAGGGACCTTCCATCCATCCATATTCTGTATCCCCTTGTTCTATGGAGGCTTGCAGGGGGGTCCAGAGCTTATCCAGGAAATCGGCACAAGGCAGGGTACAACCCAGGATGGGCCACCAACCCATCGTAGAACATAGATCTTAGAGTGCTCATTTTTGTTTGTGGATAAACCTCAACAACTTAAACCATTATGCTAATGGTTCATCCCTTTTTCGACCTTTGAGAATTTTAATGTGACTTTGATTTGTATCCTCAGTAAGTGCTGCACAGGCTAATGTGAAACCAAGAAGACACTACTGTCTTTCACAGGTACAGGTGACTCTCCATCCTAAAGTGACAGAAAGTTAAGGATTCTAGCTCAAGAATGTTCTAATATATGGATTTTGCACTAAATTTATATAAAAATTAATTATTCCAAGTACATAACTGGATGAATACCGTTCACTTACCAATAAATGTATGATATAGAAATATACAGTATACAGAACTTTGTAGATTGGATAGCACATGGGAGAGTTTTACACAAAACTGCATTGAGGGAAGAAGGGAAAATGATTGGTTCAGAGAGATAACCAATCAGATTGTAGAGGAGGTAAATCCAAGCAACTAGAGGAAGGGGAAACATCCAATCAGATGTCTTGGTCCCGCCTCCTCTAGTTGCTTGGACCCACCTCCTCTACAATAAGATTGGTTTTCTCTCTGAACCAATCATTTTTCATTCTGCTCTCAGAACAGTTTTGTGTAAGTAAAGCTCCCACAAACAATTTGTTGATGGACATTAAGTAATCAAATTTGATATTTTGTATTTTTAGAATTAACATCACTAAATCTGAGCGTGCTGAAACAGCACTAACAGGAGCACTAAGTACAGTAACGTCACTACCCCATCCTCTCCTAGTCTCCCCAGCCAGTCCAGCGGAACATAAACATGCAGCGCCTGGCGGCCAGACGCTGAAAAATACATTAAATCGACGAGCAGCTTGCAGTTTAATGCACAGCAGCTACTGAAGTTAAAAAAAAACATACACACAGATAAATAAAACGCAAATGATCCACTCAGGCGGCAAATGAGAAAGCAGGGTGGACCAAGAGAAGCTCATGCCGTAAGGAAGCAAAAGGTGGGGGCGACAGGGACGTGCAGGAATCACAGACACACAGTGCAGCATCACAGACACACGTGCAGCATCACAGACACACAGTGCAGCATCACAGACACACAGTGGCTACCTGGCGCCTCTGTCTTCTGGCTGCCCGAGAGGCTGTACATCCATACTGAGCGTCAGAGGGAAAGGAAGAGAGGAAAGAAGAGGAAGAGTTATTCAGCCGCGTGAAAGGTCATCGCTGGCCAAGGAAGGCTGGCCAGCCACAGCTTCAGAGGAACCAATTCACATGCACAGGATGCCGAGGGTTCTGGCTTTATCGATTCCCTGGGAAATAACACGTATTCCTAAGGAAATTAAGGACTTCAATGCAAAGATATATAGGTGGCATCCAGAGCGAGAAGAAAAAGAGCAGCCGCTGCATGGTAATGATGGTGCACGTCATCGCATGAAGCAATAGCATCTGCGTCAGCGTTTCCGAAACCGTTTTTTTTTTTTCGGAATACCACATGTACTCCTGTTTTTATCCAGTGTGGTAATAGCATATTACCAGTGTGCTACATTGTCCAGAGCTAGCTTTGCATGCTGGGGGCACTCTCCCAGGCCCGGGGGGGAATGGGCCAATGTCACAACCAGTCAGGAAATTAAATATCATGCATCGGTATGCAGTGAGCCAGGGTAAGATTGGGGGGGTGGGGGGGTGATGTTGGAATTGAACAGTCCAGAACTGTGCCAAAGGGAACCATGTACTAAACAAAGAGTGTGCATTGCCTGTTTGAACCCCCCCCCCCCCCACCGCCAAGAAGATGTTGACCATCTTTGTTTAAAATGTGAGTGTGTGAGTGAGCGCAGACATGAAATAAGAGAACTGAACGCACAGAAGAAAACAAAGAAATGCCGCAGCCCTGCTCTCCCGTTGCCCTCTCCTGACGTTATTCATGCCCCCCCCCCCCGCTGTTCGGAGGACGGGATGCTTTCGCTTTCAGGGAAAAGCCGTCACATGACTGCGCCGAAAACAGCGAAAACCCAACAGATATCTGCCTCCCTTCCTGGGTCTGCACTTAAGCCAGATTTCTTGCACAGCTTTTAACATCTGATTGATATTACCCCCAACACACACCCACACGCACACACACACACACACACACACACATTCTGAATAGCTAATTCCTTCCAGGTGCCACTGCTGTGCCTGACAGTCTTCTCTGTTTTCCTTTCCCTGTTTTACGAGCATGGACGACATTTCTTTGACGACTGTCCAACACACAGGTCCACATAACCTCTCACCACTATAGAACCAACTATAACTTTAAAATATTGTGAGTAACCGGGCTACATTTTAACCAAACCTTCACAGTACATTCTATCTAATTTACCCCCCACCCCCAAAAAAACATCTGCCCCTCATCATTAACATCCTCTTAAAAAAAGGACTGGTTAAAATTAAGATCCCTTCTTTAGATGGCATGACAACTAATAACGGCTGGCAAAAGGAATAAAACAGTGCAAAACTGATTTTGATTTACATATTTAGATCCTCAGGGATCCACCAACCGTCCACGTTTTTGATCCCTCACAACACCCAATAGTGAACTGGCAGGGAGCAAAAACATGGAATGTCTGCAGGTCCTCAAGGACCGGAGTGGGATTCACTGGCGTAAGTTAATGATCAGCAGGCAGTAGCCGACCACTAGCATGGTGACCTGCCCCAAACACCTGCTCTCTGACAAACAATGGTTTCACGTGGGAGGTTGCGGCATTAGGACAAAGCTCTTCTACACAGCCTGGTTACTGTTGTCAGGCTAAGTGCTGCTCCCATCTTAGATATTTCTCTTCCAACAGGGTGGGGTATACATTTCTGAAACTTTGAGAAGACAAACTTTACAAAAAGGAAATATTAATAATTGATAGTATAGCCTTAATAACTGATCTACTCTCTCTCTCTTTCACACAAACACACACACAATACTGTGCAAAAGTCTTAGGTAGTCAAAGAAATTAAAAGCTTAATGTTGGTGTAAAACTATGAAATCATGTCTGTCATAGTGTGTCACCTAAGTATTAACAACAATCATCCAATATACCCATGCAGTTGTTTGACTTGACCACTAGCACACCATGTTTGGCTTGTCAATACCTCAATCAGTTACTTAATTAATTGACTTGTTAACTAATTGAGTTGATGGTGAAATGTTATAAATACATGAAATAGCTGAGGTGCCCCTGAGGAGAGGTTTGGGAGCTGTGTTCATCTAGCCATGCAGCAAGTTATCAGTGAATTTTGGGGAACAGGGAAAAAAATCGTGTGTATTTTTTGTGGTTTTACTGTCAATTTCTGTATTTTCTAATGTTTTAAATAGTTTTTTTCTGAGCAAACATTCCCTTACTACCCAGACAAATAGCTTTAAAGATTTTCTTTGACTGCCTAAGACTTCTACTCAGTGCTGTATAATCACACGACAAAAATAAAATCTTGCACATGGATGGATGCGCATCTCCTGGAAAAACTCGACAAACATAATTGGCATTAATACAAGAGCAGAGAGGAACGGTGGCAGAACAGGAACGTGTGATATCTCAATTCACTTATTTCCCAGCACACACATGGCCAGTTGGCATCGACAGGTGGCAGACGATTTGAATGGGTGTGTCGAAAGCCCAGCCCGTCCACTGCATCGCGGGCAGTCCTAGCAGTCCACTGCATCGCGGGCAGTCCCAGCAGTCCGCTGCATCCCGAGCAGTCCGCTGCATCGCGAGCAGTCCCAGCAGTCCAGTGCATCGCGAGCAGTCCCAGCAGTCCAGTGCATCGCGAGCAGTCCCAGCAGTCCAGTGCATCGCGAGCAGTCCTAGCAGTCCAGTGCATTGCGAGCAGTCTCAGCAGTCCGCTGCATCGCAAGCAGTCCCAGCAGTCCGCTGCACATCGCCAAACCATTCAATGCAGAAGCTTAATCCTCCGACCCAGCCCAACAAATGTCACTAGCGAACCCATATTGCTGTATAACGCTATGGATATTATGAGATTGTGGACATATTTTGAATTATTGCTATTCAAATAAGGATTCTACATATTCTACATATTACAGTTATGTGTATGTTTGTGGTTTTAGTAATTTTAAAGTTTGATGTAATCTCATCCATCCTATTGCTTACCTTATGGCAAGTATGGTTGAACCTACACAAGCACATATATTGCAGTCTCATGGAAAAGAAAACACAGCCAGCTTCTCTTCATTTTCAGTATGGGTTCAACAGTTATGACCTCAGCTGTCTGATAACATATTTTTTTATTGTAAAGAATCCACCTCCTAGCAGCCCATAGTATCTGATTTCTTCATTCCAGTTGGCACTGCATAAGTGCACCGACTGTTTCAACAGCAGTTAATCAGATCCTCCAAGCAGAGACAAGGGCCTCCACCGAACACACACTGAATTACGTGTAGGGTCACGTGACCACAGTGTTTAAATGCCGGAGGATGAAATGCAGCTGTTCGCCTCTGATCTAATAACATTGCAACGAGACTTTCTGGGGGTGTGCAGCGATATGGCTGCAACTTTCATTGCGTTACCCAGTTTTACTAGCGTTAATGCTGACCAGATCTTCCGGGCAACCTATAACACCACGAAAGACAGTACCTAACCAAACCATGCCCTAATTTTCACAGCTACATCAGATTTGTGTTGCGATAATGGAGAATTTTGTTAACAAATAAAATGGAGTTTGATGCCGTAGGTGAATGCTAAAGCTAACTCACCATTTGTTTATTAGCACAATTTTTTATTAATGATCTTCATTTTATGCAGACGGTGCAATACTGAGATACATGCAAAAACGCAGAGCAGCTGCGCAACGTGAAATGCATCATCAGAAAACGCAGCTGGGGATTCATACACAGTGAACTGTGATCGCAAATCCCATGCAGATTATATGGAACGATATCTACATCTGTGCCAAATTCTTCTCAATCTTCTGGATGGCATTAGCCTTAATTACCCAAAAAAAGAACTGCAGTCAGGTGTTCATAGAGCTGGGCTCGTGCATAAACACTCCAAACACACTCAGTACTCAGGAAAAGTAGCTACATTGCTCCACTAAACGATGTTCCCCTAAATGATATTTCGCTAAAGCAAATTACAATAAAGGGAGTTATACTTAAGGGTGTTAGGCTAAAGGGTTACACTAAAGGGAGTTACGCTAAAGGGAGTTACGCTAAAGGGAGTTACGCTAAAGGGAGTTACGCTAAAGGGAGCGCCTTTCTGCCTCCTCCCCATCCCAGTCCCCACCTCCAGCTCCCTAGCCGCTCCTCATAATTCCCCTGCACCCTCTGCTGACCTTTTCCTCCGCGCTCCTAGCCCCTGTAAACATTATTAGCCCCTCCTACGTCACTCTGAAATTACTTCCACTTGCCACGTAAACATAAGTGCCCAGCATCCTCTGCTTCACATCTGGCCCTCACATGCGGCTGGGCCCGCTCTCGAGACGGTGCAGGAAAAAAAACGACCTCTAGCACTGCCAAAATAGCGTAACAAACCTCTGCTGCTACAGCAGAATCCGACACACTTTTTCTGCCTTAATCCTTCCTGCTTTTCAGACTAGCATTTTAGGATGAATCATCGACCCGCACGTTTTATTTAATGCGACAGGACATCCGTCATGTAAATACGTGGTCAGATATCTTGCACCTCAAAAAAAAAAAAAGAAAAAAAGACAACTTAGTTACTAAGTATGTTTAATAAGTATCAAATAGCATAGTCCAGGCTAAAGGGGATCTTCGATTAAATCTGCAGGCCATTTAAACCTATTTAAAAGCCGGAGTAGCAGAAGAGCCGGCACATAACAGTGGATACCCATAAGGATGAGCAGCAATCATGGAATTAAATTAATCTGATAATATCACACAAAGAAAGCCAGTGCTTAATCTTTCCTCCAAAGCAGCCTAATTTAATGGAAAAATTCAGAGGTCGAATTTAGCTTATTATTGTTGTGAAATGGCAGGCTTAATTGGTGTAACAAATTAACTATACCAGTACTGTTTGTGGAAATGCATCTTATCAATGAATAACTTCAAAATCAAGATTTAAGTCCAAACTGTGCATTTGTTAGGTTTTTAAGAACAAACATCTCTGATTGTTGGGCCTGATCACTTCTCTGACCTTCAGGTTAATTAACATGTAATTGGAAACGAACAGGCATACTTCAATCTAATTGAATGACCATACAGAGGGGACTGCAAGGCACACAGACTTGAGTCATTGCATCATTTCTGCTCATCTTGGGCCAGTGAGATTCCCTCTCATTTGCATTAATGCCAATCTGATGAAATGGCACCACCTGTTGAGGAGTTGATGGTAAAATGGACTCCCTTTAATTCTAAGCCCATGCTTCAGGGAACATAAGAACTTAAAAACATCAGGCAGAAACAATGTTAGGGGGGCAAGCTGCTACACACCTCATTACCTTAAAATATTCTTGAATTTCCATCCTCGTCGTTTAAAATTTCATAGGCACTCACATGTGCAAAAACAATTTTTTTAAGAGTTCATCAGCCAAGGATTTTTATAATACATTTTCATAAGGGTGTGACAAACCATGACATTAAGTAATAAGTTGAGTATTAAGAAGCAATAAAATGGCTGTGACACACATATAAGGGCGTTTTGGCCTCTCGTTCGTTTTCAGCTTTTCGTTTGTACTGTACCTCAGTCGTTTGGTATTTGCCCTTCAACTATGGAATGACACATGGGACCTGACCTCCAAGTCTCGTCCAGCGAAGGGACACGGGCACTTCACAGCTGCTCCAGATAAAACAGCTGCACCTTTCCACACCACACGCACTCTCGAAACCACATAAGCCGTTCCTCTGGCAGCCCACACTGGGGGCTCGGGCACGGAAAATAAACGTCACATATAACACATTCCCACTAAGGCTCACGTTTAATGCAAAATTGACTTTCACCGTGCATCATCAATAACCCAGATAGGTATTTTAGATTCCAAATTCTGCATGAGAGAAAATTATCGCCTGTTGTAAAGGGGCCTTAATTTTGTTTTGCATGCTTAGGCCTTTTGGTGCTATAAGCTATCCAATGATGTCAGCCATCTCCAGCAGTCCTGCTCACTGGGCTCAGCTTCAGTACAGTGGGACAGAGTCCGACCGCCCACAGGGCCCAGGAACCATAAGTTTTTCCCCTCTCAGAGAGCCATAATCAGACCTTAACTGGTGCTGCTGTCCACCACGAGGCCCCCGCAGCCCCCGCGCCTTACAGCTGCCACCGGGACTAAGCATTGCAAAACCAGGCTTGATGCCTACAGAGGCCTCTCCCTCAATGACAACACAATGGAGCTCCCGGGGACATGCACAACCATCCATTAGTCACTGCTGCCCTCCGCTGGATATAACACATTCCATGAAGGACACTATTGTTTGGGAACAACTTGCAGTTAAAATGAGCTCAGGTTGGGATGAATGTACTCTGCTTACATTATCTGTTACATCAGTGGCACATGACTAACCTAATTTTTGTGACATAATGGATATATTAATATATAATTCATACTGTATGATGTGACATCAACACATCATATATTATTAAAAGAAATGATTATGTGATTAACAGAATTTTTAATGAAGTACTTATTTATTATGCAAGTGAACTTTCTTATTTGAAAATGTAACATTTTTATTATTATAATTGGTGGCGCTTCACATTAACTGAACCCTCATAATTCATTCATTATGCATTCATAGAACATTCAGTGCACCTTCATAATGCATTTATAATGCATTCATAGAACATTCATAGGCAGCATGTAAGTATACCTTATCCTAACATACCTCAAGAACTTCAATATACATTAATGACAAACATTATACGATTATAAAATTTGTTATTATCATATAATGCTTGTTATTAATGAATATTACAACTGTTAAGGTGTGTTAGGATGTTGTGGTATACTTGATTGTTGCTTATGAATGTTTTACGAATGCATTACGAAGAAGCATTGAATTGTTGTACGAATGCATTATAAAGGCATCATGAGGGTGCAGTTAATGTAAGGCGTTACCTTATAATTATGCAGAAAGATACACGCCCCTTCACATAATTCCAATAAGAAATGTAGGGCCATTAGCCAAACATGGCCTGGTCCTTCCAATTAAGACCATAAAAGCAAATGGCTACTAGATCTGGCAAAGTATTTTTACATTTTTGCTTCACAGATAATACATGTTTTTCTGCAAGGAAGTAACATAATAAACACCCTATACTGTATCAAACAAAACGATTACCCTCTTAGATACTTTTCAAGGGAACCAAGGTAATCTAATGGCATATGGAAGTCAAAGGAAGTGGCTCTTATTTTTTATTAACTTTACTGTTTGCTTTAAAGGGTATAACCACTTTTAAACTGAATAAATGTATCATTTTATTAATGATCACATTTTTGAAATTACCAGGTCAGGGAAAAGCCCAGAAAATCATCTATATTTCAGAAAAATACATGAACTCTACATAAAAAAACTTCAGAAGACGATAAGACTTATATAGGACTTCCCTGTATAATGTTCTCTGCAGCCAAATTAAATGGTTTAGCTCTCCGCTAGGGCTGCATCCACAGTGTTATCAGACGAGAAACGCAGAAGAATTAATCTAGAGTTATCTCAGTGGTGAACAATGCAGAGCTGTAATTTAAGTGCTAGGCTACATAACCCTTTCTGCCAAGTTTATAAATACTATACTTAATGCACTGGCAGTAAAAGTCATCTATTACATTCTCAGTTGCTTAGCAGATGCTGTTATTCAAAACAACTGACACTTTGCCGTTTCACACTTTGCCCTGTTATGCAGATGGATACTGTTACTGCAAATCAGGTAAAGAGACCTTCAAGTACAGAAATCCAGGCACACGCTCCAGAGTGGACGAGCAGCCAAATCCAGCCGCACGCCTGTTAGGCATCTTCCTGCTGTGTCCTCAGCACATACTGGCCCTACAAACTCTGGGAGCAATTCACATGACCCCTCAGTCAGCAGAACAACTCACACTGTGCTATATGTGATAACTAACAAATAAATAAACATCGTAAAAAATCATAGATAGATTAGATAGATAGATTAGATAGATTAGATAGATTAGGTAGATAGATAATTTCAAAAAACCACATATCAGCATGATTGTTCAGTATATTACACAGATGCCTGTTCACTCGAAGCTCACTGGACCACACTAACACACTAACGTTCAGCATACAGTTACCAAAGCAGGCATCATTTTTCAGGGCCAAGTAGGATGACAACAAGGTTCTGATCAAATCGCATCTCCTTTATGAGACGGACCTTTAATCACGCAACCCAGTGTCTGTAATTAGTGGCAGATTCTTTGACTCCTCCAGGAGAACAACAAGGAAGTCCGAGAGCACCTCATGCTGTGCCTCTGGGACGTGCAGAATCAGAACACATGTTCTGATTCTGTTCCGGCATAGTGACGCCACGTGTCGCCATGTCCATTAACTTGCAGCAGAAACGCTGTACCGCCGTGACGTCACTCCTCGCATGCATAAGGCTGCATATTAGCTCAATGACATCTCCATGCAGAATGTAAACACCGATCAGAATATGGTCTCACTGCAATTGCAACCTCGGGGAGGCTCCCAGCGCCCACCCCAGCCCCTGCAGGAGGGGAGCAAACGTGCAACAGGTTGTGGAGATTGTAGAGGTTCAGAGGTCGCTGCGGGGAAAGCCATGTCTTAAATGCGAGCGGTTCCCTTACCTGACTTGCGTTTCGAGGTGCCATAGTCCCTGAAAAAAAAACAACAGCAGAAGGACATGATTAGTCTCGGGCCCATGCGAGGCTACGGCCGCGACGAGCCCTCATAAAATCCCACCCACCCACGCCGGCACGCGAGAGAAAAACTGACGGAGGGGATCTGTCACTGTGCGTGTGTGTATGTCAGGGAGGGAGAGAAGAAAAACAGAGGAAGGAGAGAGAGAAAGAGAGAGGGGGAGAGAGAGAGAGAAAGAGAGAGAGAGATAGATCGGTAAGCTAGCTATGAAATCATGTGACACTACAGCACCACAACACTCTGCAACTCCCCCCATCTCTCTCCCGCCTATCGCACTCAGTCGGGAAAAAAAATTTAAATCCCGTTTAGCCAAGAGAGGGAATCTGCTAAACTCTTTATACATAATAAATCTTTATTGGATTACACCATCAGTTTGGGAATAAGGAGTTGGATGTGGGCAGGCTTCGCTGGGCGATGGGCGCTCGGGGCTCCAGGGCACAGTGGGCGCTCAGGAGCAGCCAGGAAAGAGGAGCATGGGATCTGAAGGTAAAGCAGGGCAGCATCCCCACAAGCTGCTATAAATAGCCAGGGTGAAGTGACTGAAAGTGCCTCAAACGCGATCTCGGGCGGCACGCGCCCTCCAAATGTGGAGCGCCTCTCCTGCAGAGGCGGCGGCCCGTGCCCACGCCCGCGCCCGCGCCTACGCCCACGCCCACGCCAAACCACACCCCATCCTGCTGTGCTCACAGCAAATCCCTGCCAAAGAGAGGAGGGCAGAGTCTCTTCCTCTAAAGCCTGAGAGACACGGAGAGATGGAAACGGAGCTCGGTGATGTAGAAGTGCATTAAGGTCGCCCCAAGGAACAGGAGATGCTGTGCAGGAAGGATGTCATTGTTTTAATTGCATTTTCAGCTCCTTTATTCCTTCATCATATGTGCCAACATCAATGTTACCATTAGTATTATTTGTTACTATTAATAGTATTATTAGTACTCTAGTAGTATTAGTACCATTATTGCTACTGGATAGACATGTCAGGTAGTGAAATGCATGCTTCCTGGCAAAGATTGTGCTCTTATGCCGTAATGCACTCCTGTTATGGAAATGGCTGACAGTGACTCAGCGTTTAATGCAGAACTGTCACATCATCAGGCAAAGAGAGGATTGGGCAGTAGATACTGAAAGACAAAAGGACGAGGCTAAATGTGTAATTCTGCATATTGATAGAAAATGCAGAAAGTAGGTATTTTTAGGAACAAAATGAAACATTGACAGTTTAAAGTTTCCATTCAGCAGCTACTAACATGCAATAGAGGTGCAATGAGAATCAACTGCAACTGAATAACTGCACCTGTGTGTATGCATCAGGCTATGCATTTAGGCATGTATGTCTTTAACCTGGAAAGGGATGACATCTTCTGCTGGGTGCGCTTTACCGAACTGTGCACGCTCTGAAGGCATGACTCAGAATCACCATAAATGCAAATGGATAAGTAATTACAGAAAATAAATGGATGGATGCATGATGGATGGATGAAAACGTGTCCGCTTAATGGTCTGGCTCCTAACAAAAATATCGAGTCTGCTCAGTCAGGAAAAAAAAAGGTATGAATTCCAAGACAACAAGCATGGAAACTAGATTTGTTACAGATCTGTGTGATGCAAAAGTGTAAAGAGACACGCAGCAGGAGAGAAGCACTGGCCTTCCCACGTGGGTCACCAGTGACACATGCAGCCAGAGGGAGATCACCCTGACTACACCCCATGTGTGCCCACACATGAATCACCAAGGGTCGCTTCCCAGCCTCTCTGTGCACCAAGCCTGCATCCCGAGTCTCCAGCCTGGAATGAGTCTCAGCCACTCGCTCCATGAGAGCCCTTTTCACTGCAGACCTCTTCCTCCCCCCCCCGAGCCACCCTCTTTTGTTTGCTCTCAATCTTCTCCATTGTGAAGCCCCTGAAGATGAATATGGCCATTCTGCCTTCCTCAGTGAGATCATTCTGGGGATTCTAGAATGGGCCTCATTGTACCATGAGGAGATACACAGAGGCTCGAGGCAGTGCCCTCATCTCCAACCTTGGTCATAGGCTGACCTCCCCAAGCTGGGGAAAATCGCAGCCATTCAACTCCATCCGAAGCCTGCGCTTTTGAAAATATATTGCAGGAAAAATTCCAGCAGAGTCCTGGCAGGCTGTAGGTCTGTTGGTCCTTATTACGGTTTCCCAAGATTCCCCAGTCCGAATCTGCAGATGCCTACAGCTCTCTCTCTCGTCGTGGTTTTCATTTCCAACAGGCCTCTTTCATCACCCACCGCTCCTCACTCAAAGTCAGGCTGGATCCGGCTGTGTATTAATCTTTGCTTTACAGAATCCTGGTTAACTCATCAGTGTTAGAAACAGAATCAGAGCTATATCAAGGCTGGATTTTCAAAAAGCTGCATCGATTCTGAATAAAAGTCAGTAAAACAATATTGGTGATATTCCTGTTCATTTTTACTATGTTCATGAATCCAGAGAAAATGCCCCATTATGCAAGTTATTTATCAGGAAGACAAAGATCCTATGTGACTATAGTAAGTCTTCTGCTAAGTACATTCACAGTCTTTGAAATACCAGAAACGAATAAAAGCAATGAGCATAGCCCTTCATAATTTTCACAAAAGTTATTCTGGATACAACATATCAACCTATCAAGTTAATAAAAAAAGAACTGGTGCTTGTCTGACTGCTCTATAAATTTGTCCTGCAAAAACATCATGCTTTAATTTACTTTTCGCTGTTTAGTATCATTCTAAGAAAATATATGAGCATTTCTTATTATGTATTAAGCTTAACATTAAGATCACCTGCCTAATATTGTGTAGGTTCCCCGCTGTGGCAGGGCGCCGGCCATCGGGAACGCCACCGCCATCGGGAATATCACGGCCATCGGGAATACCACACCTATCAGGAACGCCACTGCCATCGGGAATACCACCGCCATCGGGAATACCACCGCCATCGGTAATACCACCGCCATCGGGAATATCACCGCCATCGGGAATACCACGGTCATCGGGAATATCACCGCCATCGGGAATATCACGGCCATCGGGAATACCACGGCCATCGGGAATACCACCGCCATCGGGAATATCACCGCCATCGGGAATATCACGCCCATTGGGGAATACCGTTGCCATGAAGGGATGTACTTGGTCTGCAACAGTGTTTAGGTAGGTGATACCTGTCAAAGTAACATCCACATGAATGCCAAGACCCAGGTGTCCCAGCAGAACACTTCTCGCCACCAGCTTGCTACAGTAGCTCTCCTGAGATCTTGGACCAGACCAGCTAGCCTTTGCCCCTCAAGTTCATCAATGAGCCTTGGGCACCCAAAACCCCGTTGCTGGGTTACCGGTTAACCTTCCCTGGGCTGCTTTTGGTAGGAACTGACCGCTGTATACCGGGAACACCCCCCCCCCCCCCCACACCAGGCCTGTAGTCTTGGAGATGCTCTGATGCAGTCGTCTAGCCATCACAATTTGTCCCTTGTCAAAGCTGCTCAGATCCTTATGACTGACCATTTTTCCTGATTTCAATATATCAGCTTCATGAACTGAATCCTCACTTGCCTAATATATAATGGCACCTTTGACAGGTGCCACTGTAATGAGATAATCAATGTTATTCAATTATGTTATATGGATGTTGTGGCTGATCAGCATATACATTTATCTCCCAGTTTTGGGACATGAGCGTTTGGTCTAGTATATAACCCACCAGACCCCTTATGCTAGCAATCAATGTGACCTTAACAAACAGATGGACAAATCAGATGTACATGCATTATGAAGAGCAAGTATATATTGTTCCTAAAATTTGGTAGTGATAATTATAGAGAAGCACTGTAGAAATGCCACATCTCCACATCTGGGTTGTGGGTTCTTCTCCCACCTTGGCTTGGTGTGTGTGCAGTTTGCACATTCTCCCTATGTCCGCGTGCTTTTCCAGGGATTCCAGGTTCCCACCACAATCCAAAATACAGTTTTAGTCTCGAAAATTGCCCTCAGTGAGTTTCCTGTGATGCACTCGCATAACATCCAGTGTGGTCTTTGCCTTCAGAGATAAACTTCAGGTTCATCACAAACCTATGGTAGATATAACGTTGGAAAATACAAAATGGAAGAGTGTGGACCTATTTTCTAGTTTATTTTCTCTCTGGATTTGACATCAATCAAATGCAGGGGGTGGTGTGTGGCGTGTGGCTCAGCGGGTAAGCACACTGTGACAGTGAGCGGTAGGTCACCGGTTCAAATCCCACGATCAAAAGAGTTAGCGATTTCACCACTGGGCCCTTGAGCAAGACCCTTAACTCCAGGTCCTCCTGGAACTGACTGATCCGGCTTTCCTCATTTGCTACAAAAGTTCCACTAAATAAATAAAATGTATTAACATTTCAATACATTTGCAGTAAACCCATCCTTCCATCTGTTTATCCTGGACATATTTAATCAGTCAGAGCTATATTTAAAAAGTAATAAATGAAAGATTTGTAGGTAATCGACTGCAAGAACTAAAGCTGTCAACTGATGCTCTTCTTGAAGATATGACATCATAAAGGGACAGGCAATATCGCCGATACTTATCAAGGTTCCATCGTAGGCATGACCTTTTAAACATAATGAACACACCGCGTGGTAAATCCTGCAAAAGCACAAATAGTCAGGTTGGAGGATGGAAGTTGCTGTTTTTGGCTGTTCATCAGCTTCGCTGGTCAGGCATCTGAAACGCATTAGTGGGGGTGGGGGGGGGTGGATCCGAGGGCTGTTGGGTCTGGTCCCGCTCGCGAATGACCCGTGTCTCTCTGCAGAAATAATACTCTTCCCCGGAGAGGCATGTGCTGCTTTCTGGCGGCCAGTGTTCGTCCCATGTCTCGTAAAGAGAGAAACGTAAGGAAATATTTAAAGGGGATGTGCTTTCGAGGTTACACTTTACGGGCTGGTCGCTTGCTAGCAGTTCCGTGGGAGCCAGGAG